CCTCTGTGTGTGTATTTATTTGGGAGCTGGATGGTGGGCTCCCAAAAGAGCTAGCATAAAAAGAGTAGAAGACAACCAATTACATTTTACTTTGATAAATCATTAAAAAATTTCAGCTGTTATCATCTACCAAAATAATTTATTTCATCATCTATAAACATCTGTTTCTGTTTAAAATGCTGTCATAGGAGGAAAAGCCCCGATAGAGCTACAGACTAGCATTTAGAGAGGGACAAGAGCTGAGGTGTGACCGGAAGGAGTCACTGGGTCTTCACAGCCACAGAGCTACAAAGGTCAGAACCTCTGTAATAGGTAGGTGAGAGGAGACCCCTCCCCACCAAACAAAACTAAGCCATTTAGTTTATCAGTTCATTTGAATCCAAAGCGTATGGAGTCTGACATTCTAGTGATGGTTGAATTTATCCCTCTAACGAGTCCCTTGTATGTGTGGTAAACACACTAGTCACACACATGACCACTGACTTCAGAATGACTGCAGCCTTGAGCAAGTGGACTTCTCTCCTCATCTGGGAAAATCATCTCCTGATTTTTATGATTTTTGAATCACAATGTTATTAGTATTTGCGTGTGTTTGTGTGCATGTGTGAAATACACATGCATGAGTGTAGGAATGTTCATTCTACAGCACACATGTAGAGAACACAGAAGAGCGGCGCTCAGGAGCTGATTCTATCTTTCCACTGTGGGATCCAGAGATGAAACGGAAGTCGTCAGGATTGTGAGGTGAGCACTTTCACCCGTGTTCTGTGACTTCTTGTGAGAAGATGCACGCACCCACCCCACACTGTGCAGACATTTGCGGGCATTCACAACTTTTCTCACAGACCCCTGGACTCACTAACCACTAGCCTCATGAATGACATCTAATTTTGGCAGACCCTACCTATCTATGTTTCTCTGAAGAGGGCAGGACTGGGAGGAGCCATTGAGAACACTTGGACCAGTCAAAGCAGCAGGAAGACAGTGACTGATGGAGATGCATGAGGAGATGCTGACACATTACTAACACGTGATAAGATGGGGTGAAGTTTCTGCATCGGTTTCCCCAAGTCACTTTCAAAGACCGGCCAAGGGCGAGGGGAATGTGGCCTGTGTCCTCTGCTCTGGAATAAACACTCGCTCTTATAACTTCTGTTCCTAAGTTCTGCTGGAGCTGGTGCCTGTGCTGAATCTTACCACCAGGAAGAGAAAAAAAGAAACTGAATTTCAGTCTAGCACAAAACACGTACCTTGCTGTTCAGCTGCTCAGTTCTTAATTCTTTCTGGTGAATTTCGTTTAAGCTGTTATTAAGCTGAGCCCTGAGAAGTTCTGTCTCAAGGTTTTGTGAGCCATCGACGGAGACTGATGTTTCTGGGGATGCTTGCCAGGAAACAAACATCCGTGGCATTGTCTCCTCAGACAGTTCATACTTAACTCCTCCCCCTAGAAGAAATCATGCCCACTGTAGAAGTTGCAGATGGGCAGTTACTTATAGGAGGAGGATGTTTTTCTGGATCATGGCACCCTGCGCAAACCACATGATCTCCTCACCTGTCTTTGGTACTGTGCAGAGAGAATCTGGCTTTGTGAGGAAGACCACAGGAGACTCTGCAGATGACTGAGCTGCTTATCTTTATCTTTGATGGCCATAGTGTACTGTTCCTTTATCCGCTTCTCCTGAAGTTCCCAGGTATTTTTTTCCATTCTACACCATGAAAAAAATGGCTCAAATATACTCATGGTGCATAGAAGAAAAATTCTATATTCCAAACATTCTTTTTTTTTATTTTTTTTCCATTTTTTTATTGAGAAAAGGAGAAAAAAAAAACAAGTTTCCACCTCCTTCCAGCCTCCCATTTCCCTCCCCCTCCTCCCACCCTTCTCCCCCTCCTCCCACCCTTCCCCCCTCCCCCCACTCCTCTCCCCATCCCTCTCCAGTCCAAAGAGCAGTCAGGGTTCCCTTCTTAGGCAACGTTAGCAATGTAGCAAAACTAATACATATCAGAGTAAAATTTATTTTGCAAGTGGAAGCACCCAGTAAGGGGTGAAAGCGGGCTGTGACTGGACTGGAGGAGGAGCTCCTATTGGCAGGACTGGAGGAGGAGCTCCTATTGGCAGGACTGGAGGACCTTCATAGAAAAGCCGCCATTGGATTTGGATCCTGAGCAAAGAGCTAGGTTTCCAAACGGGAAACACAATTCAAAATTGGCAAGAAAACTCAGCAGAATGAATGCAGAGTGATGTCCAGAACTGCAGGAGTCAGTGTGTACAACAGTGAGTACGGTTGTGGATGGCGAGACCAGGGAGTCAGTGTGTACAACAGTATGTACGGATGTGGATGGTGAGACCAGGGAGTCAACGTGTACAACAGTATGTACGGATGTGGATGGCGAGACAAGGGAGTCAGTGTGTACAACAGTATGTACGGATGTGGATGGCTAGACCAGGGAGTCAGTGTGTACAACAGTATGTACGGATGTGGATGGTGAGACCAGGGAGTCAGTGTGCACAACAGTATGTACGGATGTGGATGGTGAGACCAGGGATTCAACGTGTACAACAGTATGTACGGATGTGGATGGCGAGACCAGGGAGTCAGTGTGTACAACAGTATGTACGGATGTGGATGGCTAGACCAGGGAGTCAGTGTGTACAACAGTATGTACGGATGTAGATGGTGAGACCAGGGAGTCAGTGTGTACAACAGTATGTACGGATGTGGATGGCTAGACCAGGGAGTCAGTGTGTACAACAGTATGTACGGATGTGGATGGTGAGACCAGGGAGTCAGTGTGCACAACAGTATGTACGGATGTGGATGGTGAGACCAGGGAGTCAGTGTGTACAACAGTATGTACGGATGTGGATGGTGAGACCAGGGAGTCAACGTGTACAACAGTATGTACGGATGTGGATGGCGAGACCAGGGAGTCAGTGTGTACAACAGTATGTACGGATGTGGATGGCTAGACCAGGGAGTCAGTGTGTACAACAGTATGTACGGATGTGGATGGTGAGACCAGGGAGTCAGTGTGCACAACAGTATGTACGGATGTGGATGGTGAGACCAGGGATTCAACGTGTACAACAGTATGTACGGATGTGGATGGCGAGACCAGGGAGTCAGTGTGTACAACAGTATGTACGGATGTGGATGGCTAGACCAGGGAGTCAGTGTGTACAACAGTATGTACGGATGTAGATGGTGAGACCAGGGAGTCAGTGTGTACAACAGTATGTACGGATGTGGATGGCTAGACCAGGGAGTCAGTGTGTACAACAGTATGTACGGATGTGGATGGTGAGACCAGGGAGTCAGTGTGCACAACAGTATGTACGGATGTGGATGGTGAGACCAGGGATTCAACGTGTACAACAGTATGTACGGATGTGGATGGCGAGACCAGGGAGTCAGTGTGTACAACAGTATGTACGGATGTGGATGGCTAGACCAGGGAGTCAGTGTGTACAACAGTATGTACGGATGTGGATGGTGAGACCAGGGAGTCAGTGTGTACAACAGTATGTACGGATGTGGATGGCTAGACCAGGGAGTCAGTGTGTACAACAGTATGTACCGATGTGGATGGCGAGACCAGGGAGTCAGTGTGTACAACAGTATGTACGGATGTGGATGGCTAGACCAGGGAGTCAGTGTGTACAACAGTATGTACGGATGTGGATGGCGAGACCAGGGAGTCAGTGTGTACAACAGTATGTACGGATGTGGATGGTGAGACCAGGGAGTCAGTGTGTACAACAGTATGTAAGGATGTGGATGGCGAGACCAGGGAGTCAGTGTGTACAACAGTATGTACGGATGTGGATGGCGAGACCAGGGAGTCAGTGTGTACAACAGTATGTACGGATGTGGATGGCTAGACCAGGGAGTCAGTGTGTACAACAGTATGTACGGATGTGGATGGCGAGACCAGGGAGTCAGTGTGTACAACAACACATACGGAATGTTGATGGCAGGACTAGGTAGGGCACTGGAAACCACCACAGTCCTTCATCGGCGTCATGCCCCCATTGCAGAATCAACACCAGGGTTGACTCTCAAGGACTTAGAACTTTGGTTCTTGCATATATTAGGTATGAGAACTGAGCAAATGCTAGTCTTGCCAAGTTCCTTCAATAAACTAGGAATAAGCTAGTTATTTCTTAGGACTATTGAAAGATTAAATGAGACACCACACATCACTCATCAAACACGAAGCCTGGCACATGTAAAATATCAAATAATAGGCATTAGTTGTTATTTACTTATTTTCTTGAATTTGGTAAAGAGTGGAGTTTCTAATGAACACCAGCTATTTTTTTGGTATGCATAAAAGAAGCTGCGTGTGACATGTATCATGTCACATAGGATGCTGGGTGTGACAGGTACATGTCACATAGGATGCTGAGTGTCAAAGGTACATATCACATAGGATGCTGGTGTGACATATATCACGTCACATAGGATGCTGGGTGTGACAGGTACACATCACATAGGATCCTGGGTGTGACATGTTCATGTCACATAGGAAGCTGGGTGTGACGGGTACATGTCACATAGGATGCTGGGTGTGACGGGTACATGTCACATAGGATGCTGGGTGTGACGGGTACATGTCACATAGGATGCTGGGTGTGACGGGTACATCTCACATAGGATGCTGGGTGTGACGGGTACATGTCACATAGGATGCTGGGTGTGACGGGTACATGTCACATAGGATGCTGGGTGTGACGGGTACATGTCACATAGGATGCTGAGTGTGACGGGTACATGTCACATAGGATGCTAGGTGTGGCATGTAACACGTCACATAGGATGCTGGGTATGACAGGTACATGTCATATAGGATGCTTTCACTGAAGGAAGATAAGTGAAGTGTACATACATGCTCTCTCACTGTTTCCTCAGTATTCTATAAAGCAGCAACTATTTCAAAATAAAGTGTTAAAATAATAATAGTAAAGGGTCAAAATGCAGATGCAGGAATCATCCTACCTGAGCTGATGTAGCTCTTGCTGCCAGGCCAGGCTTTCCCGCCTAAGTTCCTCCTGCATCATCTGCATGGTTTCTGCCTGCTCTTGATACTCCTGGAGCTGAGCCTTCAGTGGCAGTAGCTCAATGACCTCCCGATTCCTCAGTAAGTACTGCTGCTGCAGGGTCTTCAGTTCCTCCAGCTTTAACCAGAGGGAACAAAGGGTGACTTCTCATTCCTTACTGACCAGTCGCTCTTGCCACACAGGCACCACAGACTGTGAGCACCTTCCCACAGTCCACAGACAGCCAAGGAGCTGCCATCAAGGCTCCAGGGCCTAACCATCCCTTCCATTCTACCCCATAGCCCCACCTCTGAGGTCCAGAGCTTCGACTTTGACCCGAGACAGACTTAAGGGACCTACAGGTTATTGTGAAGGGGGATGTAAAGAGTGGCTTCCCACTTACACATGTGCCCGCCATAAACTTCTGTATTTATACATGAACACCAGCCATTTTCCTTGTTGGTGCTGTTGTTGTTGTTGACTTGTTTATCTTGTCTTTGTTTCTCAATTCTCGGGCAGAACTCAGGCACACAGGCAAGGGCTCTATCACTAAGCCAATCTCAGCTGGACTCCAGCCTTAACTCAAGCTGAGCTGATATCCACTATTATAAAGAAGGTGCACACCCTACCATTAAGGACACTTGGGCTCTAGAATTGGATACCCTGTTTCTTGGATGAGAGTTGATCTAAGTCTTTGTTTCCCTCACCTATTAAATGAAGATAATCAGCACTTTTCCTCATACAAACATGAGAATTAAATAAGAAAACAATGCGTCTCAAACACAAGGTTAATGGATGTTAGGATGGACTCGCCTTTAGAAAACTGCGATCCGTTTAAAACTCTTTCCCAATACCCACTAAGAGCTTGATGCAGAAATGACGTCAGGACACCTGGGTAGACAACAGCCTTCAACACACACCTTTCACCCACTCACAAACATTAATGCTGTCGTACCAGTAGCTCTTTAAAAAGCAGCAAACACAAGAGCGGGAAGACAACAAAGGACAGCAGCAACACACACTTGAGGCCCAGAAGCAGATGACACATTAGCCGGGGAAACCACAGGCGCTGAGACAGGTGAGAATGCTGGCAATCAGATCATTATAGCATCAATAAAGAATTACCAAGAGAAACTCACCAAAAGAAGCAACCAGTCAGGTGTGGAGGCACATACCTGTAACCCTGGCCTTTGCGAGACTGGTGCATGAAGATGTGAATTTGGGGGCAGCCTGGACCACACTGAACGCTCTAGGCAAGCTTCAGTTATATAATAAGACCTTGTCTCAATAGCAAAATGGGAGGTGGAGAAGTAGTTCAGCAGTTAAGAGCCCTCACTGCTCTTCCAGAGGACCCCAGTTCAATCCCCATGTTGGGCAATTCAAAATTGCCTGTAATTCCAGCGCCCTCTCCTGGCCTCCACAGGCACCTGCACATGTCATACACTCACAGTAGAATTAACAACAAAGCAAAATACCACCATTCTTGGAAAGGTAAGTTAGAAAATTTACCCGTGAAACAAGAAAAAAAATACATAAAACAACGAGAAAAGAGAAATTTCTTTCAAATTAAGAAGCAGGGCTGGAGAGATGGCTCAGTGGTTAAGAGTACTGTCTGCTATCCCAGAGGAATTTGGCTGGGGTCAATTCTAGCACCCACATGATGGTAATAACTGTTACCACAGTCTGAGGACATCCAAGACCACCAGGTATGCATGTGTTACACAGACACACATGCAGACAAAATAGCTAACTATACATCGTTAACAACACCAAGAACAAAGAACACCAACAACAAGGTGACAAAAACAAAATTATCAAACGGGGTCAAAAGATAGGGCCGAGAGCATAGGCACTTGTGTGCAGGCAGCGCGAGTCAAACGGGATGACAAGCACTTTGGAAGTAAGAAGGCAAAACAGAAACAAGCAACTGGGAAGTGTGGCAGGAGAATCTGAGATCTGGAGTGGCCCCCAAAAGGAAGCAACGAGGAATACATTCCCACCAATAAGATGGTGATGTGGGTAGAAGGTCCTCAGGGCCATCACTGTTTGCTGAAGAGCTGGGTCTGATGGCCTGCAGGCTTAAGATCAAGTAAAGGGCTGAAAAGATGAGGACAAATAATCAGGTCTTGCATGGCAGATCAAGGGAGGGATCCTAAGCTTCTCCCAGACAATCGTGAACCTTTTAAAGGTTCCTAAGCAGGCAGTTATACGAACGGGAGAGTTTGGGAATGACTTGTACACAAGCATATTTATTCTCTGCTGGAGAGGTTATGCGATGGGAGCACTGGTGTCAGAACTGCTGAAGGGAAAGAAGCTTCTCGTGGGTGTGAGAAGAAGGTGAAAGGATGGACATTTGAGCGCATTCAGAACAGAATAAAATACCTTGCTCATTAGGTGATAAAAACCAGAGTGACAGCTTCAAGAAACACTATCACAGCACGTTACAGAAGCAGAGGAACGGCTTCTTAAAAGACTTGTCTCATCAATATTCAGTGGACAGAAAGTGTGCAATAGTGCCGAGAGAACAAAGCAGTGCCAGGGTTTCCAATGCATAAACTCAGAGTGCACGGTCCCTGGATGAAGCAGAGCTGACATGGAATCGGCTGGAACCACCCAGGACAAGGATTCTGACTCAGAACAGAGTGAATCCCAGCATGACATAAGCTACTGCTTTTAGGCATAAACATGTATAAGCATATGCATGTTCATGTGGGTGCAGGCACATGTGTGTATAAGGGCTGAGTCAGCCTGGGTGCCAGGGGACAACTTTGAGTCTATTCCTCTGGTGCCATACAGCTTTCCCCCCAATTGTGTCTTCTTTCAGCAAACAGCGCCAAGCCTGACACTAGTGAGACTTTGGGCTCCCACGATGACATCAGTGACCACCTCCAGCAGCTTGAGCAACTCAAGGGAAGAATTGCTGAGTTAGAGATGGAGAAACAGAGTGACAGGGGGCTTAGCCAGACACTAGAAAATGAGAAAAATGCCCTCCTGAGTCAAATATCGGCAAAGGATGGCAGACTAAAACTACGTGAGGAATCTTCAAGTTTAACGCTCACACTCTGAGTATCTTGCTCTTGCGATTTGCCTGCCAGAGCTTGTGTTTCTTGTTCAGTGATGCCATCCGTTTGTTGAGGGAATTTCTCAGTGGCCTCTAGGCTAGCTTGTTTTAGTACACTATCTTCTCCCTGAAGCTCCAGATCTTCTCTCAGAAGGTTTTTCTTTGCCATTAAAGCCTCAAAATCCTTAGAAAGGGTTTTATTCTCTAACTTTACCCTTTCTAGTTCCTCCTTCAGGCTGGAATTCTTTTGGAATTCCTCCAAAAGAAGGAATGACATTCAAAGTTGTTCTCTGGCCATCACACACATTCTAAGTACACACAATGTGAGTTAGTACAGGGTAAGCTCAAATACAAGAAAGTCAATTTTCAATGCACCTTAAAAAATACAGATTTAATAAAAGAATGTGCCTTTGAAATCTCTTTTTACCTCTTTTATTTTTTTTTTAAATACAAAACTGACTTCATCTATTTGAAGTTTTGGATCAGGGTTAGGACATGAATGGTCGCAGTAAATCTGCAAATGAGAAAGAAACCAGCCCATTGCTGACTCCCACAAGTCCTCAGGAAGTTCCGACCTGATGAGATAAGGAAAAAGGGAAAGTATGGACAAGACAGAAAATGATGTGCAACGAAAGAGAGGACACCAATAAGAAGCCAAGGAATACATGGAGGATGTGTGGAGCGCAGCAGGGAAGGGCAGGGCTTGGAAAGTGGCTGAGAGGTCTGGATTAAATGTTAACCAAAACAAGAGTCATTCCATGGAGTGTGAGCAACACACCTGCTGCATCTCTGTCTCCACATCTGCCTGGGTTACTAACGGAAGCAGCTCATCTTCATGGAGGCGGACCTGGGTTTCAAAGCGGGCGTCTTTTCTTGGACCATCTGCTGCATGGAACTCAACTGAAGACACATGCCAGAGAAGCTAGACAAGGTACGCTCCAGAGTAGCTCAGAGACAATTCTTTCAGCCTAACCTCCAAAGATGGGCACACAGCACCGACGGACAGTGCTTCTCTAAACATCAGCTCTGAGGGGCAAGGGTGAGAATGTCAGAAGAACAAGAGGCCCAGCAGTAACTTCCAGACAAGAATGAAAGCCTACTATCAAACTCTAATCAACTCATATATAACTTTAATTAAAAAAATCTTCATTGACACTAAAAATGTTATAAATATGGGAGAAGATATTTTTTAATTCTGAAATGATTAGAAAATTAAACATACAAGTGAAGTTAAATTTCTGTTAGCTCCTTCAGTACCAGACTCATGCTCAAAAATGGTCCTGGACCCTCACTCCTATAAATTAGCAGTTCAAGCCATGGACATTATTCGAAATGTTCTACAAATAGAAATACAAGGCTAGTCTATCTTGTGTGGTTATCTGTTTGTGTTTTCGAGGGCACACCACCTCCCCAGAGAGCCATGTCCAGCTGTCACTCCTGCAGGCTGTTCTCTTTAATGCATTCTCTCTGTCTTTCCCAAATCTTCCCCACAAGAACGCAGCTTGTCTAGAGTGTTGCCTAGCTCCCAGGATTCCTCTCTGTCTTCCCCACAAGAACATAGCTTATCTGGAGAGTTAGCAAGCTCTCAGGGTTCTGTTTAAATCCCATCTTTTTTTCCTCTATGTTTCTATAACTACCATGTTCACAAAATACTTTAAAGCTGGGGCTACATTTATCAATTTTATTTTTTGAGATAGGTCTTCCTGTATAGCCTGGCCTAGCTTGGAACTTGTCATGCAGCCAACACTGGTGTGAAACCCATAATCTGTACACATCAGTCTTCTGCATGCTAGGGCAATGACTTTTGTTAACACACTTAGCCTTTGGTATTTTGTTTGGAGTGACTTGCTCCACAATGGAACTGTTACCATATTCATATGTCTTCGCTGCCTTTGTTTTAAGTAGCTTAAAAGAAAACAATCCAAAGAATCAATGAATCAAAGAGCTGGTTCCTGGAGAAAATCAACAAGATTGACAAACCCCTATCCAAACTAGTCAAATGGCAGAGAGAAAATTTGCAAATTAATAAGATCAGAAATGAAAAGGGGGACATAACCACAAACACAGAGGAAATTCAGAGAGTCATTAGATCTTACTACAAAAGCCTGTATGCAACAAAACTGGAAAATGTAAAAGAAATGGACACTTTTTTAGATAAATACCATTTACCAAAATTAAACCAGGACCAGGTGAACAATCTAAACACAGCTGTCAGTCGCGAAGAATTAGAAGCTGTTATCAAAAACCTCCCTACCAAAAAAAAGCCCAGGGCCAGATGGTTTCAATGCGGAATTCTACCAGAACATCCAAGAAGACCTAATACCTATACTCCTCAATGTATTCCACAATATAGAAACAGAAGGGTCATAACCAAATTCCTTTTATGAAGCTACAGTTACTCTGATACCAAAACCACACAAAGACTCAACCAGGAAAGAGAATTACAGGCCAATCTCACTCATGAATATCGACGCAAAAATCTTCAACAAAATACTGGCCAACTGAATCCATGAACACATTAGAAAAATTATCCATTATGATCAAGTAGGCTTCATTCCTGAGATGCTGGGCTGGTTCAACATACGAAAATCTATCAATGTAATCCAGCATATAAATAAACTGAAAGAAAAAAAACATATGATCATTTCATTAGATGCTGAAAAAGCATTTGACAAAATTCAACACCCCTTTATGTTAAAATTCTTGGAGAGATTAGGGATACAAGGGTCATACCTAAATATAATAAAAGCTATATACAGCAAGTCGACAGCTAACATCAAATTAAACGGAGAGAAACTCAAAGCCATCCCGCTTAACTCAGGAACACGACAAGGCTGTCCACTCTCGCCATACCTCTTCAATATAGTGCTTGAAGTTCTAGCAATAGCAATAAGACAACATAATGGGATCAAGGGGATTCGAATTGGAAAGGAAGACGTTAAACTTTCGTTATTTGCAGATGATATGACAGTGTACATAACCGACCCCCAAAACTCCACCAAAGAACTTTTACAGCTGATAAACACCTTTAGTAATGTGGCAGGATAAAAGATCAACTCCAAAAAATCAGTCGCCCTCTTATACACAAAGGATATGGAAGCAGAGAGGGAAATCAGAGATGCTTCTCCATTCACCATAGCCACAAACAGCATGAAATATCTTGGGGTAAATCTAACCAAGGAAGTGAAAGATCTATTTGACAAGAACTTTAAGGCATTGAAGAAAGAATTGAAGAGGATACCAAAAAATGGATGGACATCCCTTGCTCTTGGATTGGGAGGATCAACCAAAGGCAATTTATAGATTCAATGCAATCCCCAACAAGGTCCCATCAAAATTCTTCACAGATCTGGAGAGGACAATAATCAACTTTATATGGAAAAAAAAACCCAGGATAGCCAAAACAATCTTATACAATAAAGGATCATCTGGAGGCATTACCATCCCTGACTTCAAACTCTATTACAGAGCTACAGTAACGAAAACATTGTGGTACTGGCATAAAAACAGAGAAGTCGACCAATGGAATCGTACAGAAGACCCGGATTTTATCCCATAAACCTATGAACACCTCATTTTTGATAAAGGAGCTAAAAGTATACAATGGAAGAAAGAAAGCATCTTCAACAAATGGTGCTGGCACAACTGGATGTCAACCTGTAGAAGAATGAAAATACACCCATATCTATCACCGTGCACAAAACTCAAGTCCAAATGGATTAAAGACCTCAATATCAGCCCGAAAACACTGAACCTGATAGAAGAGAAAGTGGGAAATACCCTACAACAGATGGGCACAGGTGATCGCTTCCTATGTATAACCCCAGAAGCACAGACATTAAGGGCAACATTGAATAAATGGGACCTACTTAAACTGAGAAGCTTCTGTAAAGCAAAGGACACTGTCACCAAGACACAAAGGCAACCTACTGACTCGGAGAAGATCGTCACCAACGCTGCAACAGACAAAGGTCTGATCTCCAAAATATATAGAGAACTCAAGAAACTAGACTTTAAAATGCTAATTAAACCAAATAAAAAATGGGGCACTGAACTGAACAGAGAATTCTCAAAAGAAGAAGTTCAAATGGCCAAAAGACACTTGAGGTCGTGTTCAACTTCCTTAGCAATCAGGGAAATGCAAATCAAAACAACTTTGAGATATCATCTTACACCTGTCAGAATGGCTAAAGTCAAAAACACCAAGGATAGCCTTTGCTGGAGAGGCTGTGGAGGAAGGGGTACCCTCATCCATTGCTGGTGGGAATGCAATCTTGTGCAACCACTGTGGATGTCAGTGTTTCGGTTTCTCAGGAAATGTGGGATCAACCTACCCCTGGAATTAGCAATACCACTCTTGGGAATATACCCAAGAGATGCTCTATCATATGACAAAAGCATTTGTTCAACTATGTTCATAGCAGTATTATTTGTAATAGCCAGAACCTGGAAACAACCTAGATGCCCTTCAATGGAAGAATGGAAGAAGAAAGTATGGAATATATATACAGTAGAGTACTATGCTGCGGTAAAAAACAATGACTTCTCGAATTTTGCATGCAAATGGATTGAAATAGAAAACACTATCCTGAGTGAGGTATCCCAGACCCAAAAAGGGGAACATGGGAAGTACTCACTCATAATTGGTTTCTAACCAAAAATAGGGGTCACGGAGTCTACAATAGGTGAACCTAAAGAAGCTAACTAAGAAGGTGAACCCAAGGAAAAACATATGGTTATCCTCTTGGCTAACGGAAGTAGACAAAATTGCCGGGGAAAAAATTGGGATCTTGGTGGTGGGGTGGGATGGGGGTAAGGGGAGATGGGGAGAGAAAAGCTAGAAGGGAAGGAGGGGGGACATAGGGAAACAGGAGGATTGGGATAAAGTAAGGTTGGATAGGGGAGCACGGAAGCACAATTCTTAGTTAAGGGAGCCACTTTAGGGTGGGCAAGAGACCTGACCCTAGAGGGGCTCCCAGGTGCCCAAGCTGAGGTCCCCAGTTCATTCCTTGGGCAGCTGAGGATAGGGAACCTGAAATGACCCTATCCTAGAGCAATACTGACGAATATCTTGCATATCATCATAGAACCTTCATCTGGTGATGGATGGAGATAGAGACAGAGACCCACACTGGAGCACTGGACTGAGCTCCCAAGGTCCCAATGAGGAGCAGAAGGAGGGAGAACATAAGCAAAGAAGTCGGGACCACGAGGGGTGCACCCACCCACTGAGACAGTGGAGCTGATCTACTGGGAGCTCACCAAGGCCAGCTGGACTGTCACCGAAAAAGCATGGGATAAAACTGGACTCTCTGAACATGGCGAACAATGAGGGCTGATGAGACGCCAAGGACAATGGCACGGGGTTTTGATCCTACTTAATGTGCTGGCTGTGTGGGAGCCTAGCCAGTTTGGATGTTCACCTTCCTAGATATGGACGGAGGGGGGAGGACCTAGGACTTACCACAGGGCAGGGAAACCTGACTGCTCTTTGGACTGGAGAGGGAGGGAGAGAGGAGTGAGGGGAGGGGGAGAAAGATGGGAAGAGAGGGAGAAGAGTGGGAGGAGGGGGAGGGAAATGGGAGGCTGGGAAGAGGTGGAAATTTGTTTTTATTCTCCTTTTATCAATAAAAGAAAAGAATAAAAAATGTGTAAAATTTCCCTATTCTACAATATATATGAAGCATGAAAGCTTCAATAGAAGTTAATAGGATCAGATTATCAATTTCTGGGTATAAAACTCTCTGTGTTCAACTGTCAGCCATCACTACATGGAAGACACCTCTATTACCAATATGTCTGATGGCTAAGATCAGCTGCGTGTTGTGTGCAAAGACCTCCAGGGATGAAAATACAGCATGGCACAAAAGCATCCTCAAAGGAGAATTACGAAAAACTGAGAAAAACAGATCAGAGGGAGCCCGCGCAAAAAGGGTGGCTCTGCCTTGAGAATGACCAAGAAGAAGAACGCTGCATAATAGAGTCATTAGCAATGAGCATTACAACCTCTCCAATTCTTTAGTCTATGTTCAAAAAGTAGCTTCTTCTGCCACACCCTTCTAGGCTTGGCTTTAATATCCTTGCTACCATACTTGCATTTACCAAGATTTTCAAGTGACTGCAGGGGTTGACTTGCCACCTGTAACATTCTGACGCCATGGATACTATCCTAATGGAGGCGCCACCATCCTACCTGTGCATCTTGCTCTTCTTGTGTCTGCCTAAGCTCAGCACGCAAAGTACTAATGAGTTCTTCCTTTTCTTGAAGATGCTGCTTCATCAGGCTGAAATCCTCCATCTCAACCAAATTCTTATACAACTGAAGGGGAAAAATATTTACTTAAACAATGGGATTGGCAACTTTTAGTTCTTTTGACTTTCTCATTTGCCTTGAATACTTACCCTATTTTTTTCTAATTTCCACGTTAATGCAAAAAGAATTTTATTTGCTAATTTATAAAGTATCATTGAATTGCCAAACTTTTCAGAAGAAGACAGAAGCAATAGCAATATGCTTTTCAATTTCTTTGAAAGCTAACATAGCAAAGAGACAGACCAAATAGACAGTGAGCAGAAAAACATGGAAAACAGTAACAATATGTAAAAACATTCCTATAAACCTTGCAAAAAACAAGTTAAGGGCAAACCAGAAAAATTGGGATTTTCTTGGCATTAGTGACTATAAAATAATAATGATAAAAAAAGACAGCAATAGAGCTACATCTGATGTTCCTGTGGAATAGGGAAAAATCCAAGGTACCAAAGAAGTATTTGCAGGAATAGGTGGCAGCTAGAATTAGAAGAGATGCAACACTTCCCGTTCTTTGATCACGGGTAAATGCAGGCTTTCCACGGGGGGGGGAATCCAAATGCGATCTGTATTGAGGTTTAGGAATGGTTCAGTGGCAACTAGCACTTGCTGCTCTTGTGAAAAGATCCAGGTTCCATCACGGCACCCACGCTATCTGTAACTCCAGTTCCAGGGGATCTGATGTCCTCATCTGACCTCTGGGGGTATGTAGTGCATATACATACATGTAAGCAAAAACATTCACACAAAAGATGCATGAACAATTACATAATATCATTCAAAAGTCAGGCATGGTGGCTCATGCCTATAATACCAGCACTCAAGAGGCTGAGACAGGAGGACTGCCACAAGTTCAAGGTAAAACTGGGCTACATTGTGAGACCTTCCTTCAAAAACAACAACAAAAATCACGAAGAATAAGGAGCAGAAAAATATGCTGAAAGACACTGTAACCTATTTCATCGTTAAACATGTTTAAGAAAAATGAAGAGGACATGAAAGGAAATTAGAGTTAGAAAAGTTTGAAAAATTAATAAAATTCATGAAGTTGATGTAAAAGAAAACTCGTGTCAGAAGAGAAAGCCAAACACAAAACAGAATGCCTTCAGTAAAAAAGGAAAAGGATAAATAAAAAAAATTATTAATCACAATTGGTAAAAAAAAATACACAACCAAAAGTAAAGGTTAACAGAAACCTGCAAGGAAAAAAATGAAAGCATCGGAGCTGACCGAATGCTATGCATCATGTAATTCAAGCGTTTCTGAAAACACACGATCCATACATGAAGAATACACTGAGTATGTGCAAATACCAACCGAGAACGCCACACACACACACATGCAAACTCTAATAAATGAGTAGACCAGGAAGCAAGGGAGAGCGGGAGGGGCAGGCAGGGAGGGACAGACTGACTGGAGAGAGCTACTGATCTGGCTCTGGCTTCAGAATGACCATGAAGAAGAACGCTGCATACTAGAGTCATTAGCAATGAGCCTCATACCCTCCACTTCTTTAGTCTATGTTCAGTAAGTAGCTTTAAGGCTAAGATATATCTTCCTAACAAGATTTTAATCAGAAAAGAATGGAGGTAATGATATGATTTCTTTTGTAGTATCTATCCGTTTCCTTTGAGTTCTGCCATGAGCCTGTTCCTGAGATACAGAATCTCTGTGTGCGATTAAAATGGAGTATCTTGACCCAAGGAATAAAAACAGTCATCATAAAGCTATGGCAAGTTCACCAACCTAAATGGCATTTTTGAGGGTTTCTGATGTTTCCTACTAAGAAATGAACCACTTACCATACTTGTAGCTTCTTCTGCCATACCCTCCTAGGCTTGGCTTTAATATCCTTCCTACCATACTTTCATCTACCAAGCTTTTCAAGTGACTGCCGGGATTGACTTGCCACCTGCACCATTCTGGACCCCAGGGATACTATCCTAATGGTGGCGCCATCATCCTACCTGTGCAGCTTGATCTTCCTGTGTCTGCTTGAGCTCAGTGCGCAAAGTACTAATGATTTTTTCCTTTTCTTGAAGCGGCTGCTTCATCAGGCTGAAATCCTTCATCTCAACCAAATTCTTGTCCAACTGAAGGGGAAAATATTTACTTAAGTAATGGGATTGGCAACTTTTAGTTCTTTTGACTTTCTCATTTGCCTTGAATACCTACCCTATTTTATACTAATTTCCACTTTAATGCAAAAAGAATTTTATTTGCTAATTTATAAAGTATCATTGAATTGCCAAAACTTTTCAGAAGAAGACAGAAGCAATAGCAATACGCTTTTCAATTTCGTTGAAAGCTAACATAGCAAAGAGACAGACCAAATAGACAGTGAGAGGAAACATGGAAATCAGTAACAATATGTAAAAACTATCCTACAAACCTTGCACTAAACAAGTTAAGGGCAAACCAGAAAAATTGGGATTTTCTTGGCATTAGAGAATATAAAATAATAATGATAAAAAAGACAGCAATAGAGCTACATCTGATGTTCCTGTGAAATAGGGAAAAATCCAAGGTAAACAAGAAGTATTTGCAGGAATAGGTGGCAGCTAGTATTAGAAGAGATGCAACACTTCCCATTCTTTGATCATGGGTAAATGCAGGCCATCCACAGGAAAAAAAAAACCCAAATGCGATCTGTATAGACGTTTAGCAATGGTTCAGTGGCAACTAGCACTTGCTGCTCTTGTGAAAAGATCCAGGTTCCATCACAGCACCCACGCTATCTGTAACTCCAGTTCCAGGGGATCTGATGTCCTCGTCTGACCTCTGGGGGTATGTAGTGCATATACATACATGTAAGCAAAAACATTCACACAAAAGATGCATGAACAATTACATAATATCATTCAAAAGTCAGGCATGGTGGCTCATGCCTATAATTCCAGCACTCAAGAGGCTGAGACAGGAGGACTGCCACAAGTTCAAGGTAAAACTGGGCTACATTGTGAGACCTTCCTTCAAAAACAACAAAAATCACGAAGAATAAGGAGAAGAAAAATATGCTGAAAGACACTGTAACCTATATCATCGTTAAACATGTTTAAGAAAAATGAAGAGGAAATGAAAGGAAAATTAGAGTTAGAAAAGTTTGAAAAATTAATAAAATTCATGAAGTTGATGTAAAAGAAAACTCGTTTCAGAAGAGAAATCCAAACACAAAACAGAATGCCTTTATTTAAATAAGAAAAAGGATAAATCAAAAAAATATTAATCACAATTGGTAAAAAAAAAAAAACACACAACCAAAAGTAAAGGTTAACAGAAACCTGCAAGGAAAAAAATGAAAGCATCGGAGCAGACCGAATGCTATATGGATCTGTAATTCAAGAGTTTCTGAAAACACACGATCCATACATGAAGAATACACAGAGTATGTGCAAATACCAACCAAGAACGCCACACACACACACACACACACACACATGCAAACTCTAATAAAAGAGTAGACCAGGAAGCAGGGGAGAGCAGGAGGGGCAGGCAGGGAGGGACAGACTGACTGGAGAGAGCTACTGATCTGGCTTTGGCTTCAGAATGACCATGAAGAAGAACGCTGCATACTAGAGTCATTAGCAATGAGCCTCATACCCTCTCCACTTCTTTAGTTTATGTTCAGTAAGTAGCTTTAAGGCTAAGATATATCTTCCTAACAAGATTTTAATCAGAAAAGAATGGAGGTAATGATTTGATTTCTTTTGTTGTATCTATCCGTTTCCTTTGAGTTCTGCCATGAGCCCGTTCCTGAGATACAGAATCTCTGTGTGCGATTAAAATGGAGTATCTTGACCCAAGGAATAAAAACAGTCATCATAAAGCTAGGGCAAGTTCACCAACCTAAATGGCATTTTTGAGGGTTTCTGATGTTTCCTACTAAGATATGAACCACTTGTATACTTGTAGCTTCTTCTGCCACACCCTCCTAGGCTTGGCTTTAATATCCTACCTACCATACTTTCATCTACCAAGTTTTTCAAGTGACTGCCGGGATTGACTTGCCACCTGCACCATTCTGGACCCCATGGATACTATCCTAATGGAGGCGCCATCATCCTACCTGTGCAGCTTGCTCTTCCTTTGTCTGCCTGAGCTCAGTCCGGAAAGTGCTAATGAGTTCTTCATTTTCTTGAAGCTGCTGCTTCATCAGGACAATCTCCTCCATATCAGCCGATTTCTTATCCAAATGAAGGGGAAAATATTTATTTAATCAATGGGATTGGCAACTTTTAGTTCTTTTGACTTTCTCATTTGCCTTGAATACCTACCCTATTTTATACTAATTTCCACTTTAATGCAAAAAGAATTTTATTTGCTAATTTATAAAGTATCATTGAATTGCCAAAACTTTTCAGAAGAAGACAGAAGCAATAGCAATACGCTTTTCAATTTCGGTGAAAGCTAACATAGCAAAGAGACAGACCAAATAGACAGTGAGCAGAAAAACATGGAAATCAGTAACAATATGTAAAAACTATCCTACAAACCTTGCACTAAACAAGTTAAGGGCAAACCAGAAAAATTGGGATTTTCTTGGCATTAGAGAATATAAAATAATAATGATAAAAAAGACAGCAATAGAGCTACATCTGATGTTCCTGTGAAATAGGGAAAAATCCAAGGTAAACAAGAAGTATTTGCAGGAATAGGTGGCAGCTAGTATTAGAAGAGATGCAACACTTCCCATTCTTTGATCATGGGTAAATGCAGGCCATCCACAGGAAAAAAAAACCCAAATGCGATCTGTATAGACGTTTAGCAATGTTTCAGTGGCAACTAGCACTTGCTGCTCTTGTGAAAAGATCCAGGTTCCATCACAGCACCCACGCTATCTGTAACTCCAGTTCCAGGGGATCTGATGTCCTCGTCTGACCTCTGGGGGTATGTAGTGCATATACATACATGTAAGCAAAAACATTCACACAAAAGATGCATGAACAATTACATAATATCATTCAAAAGTCAGGCAAGGTGGCTCATGCCTATAATT